ATATATATATATGACTGTATTCTCACTTTGCTACGAGACCCACAGTTAGTGGTGTGACATATGTAATAGTTTTTTTAAGTAGTTCCAGGTGTACTTTGGGGTAAAATGTTTGGGAAACACTAGTAAGATCATACAAAGAAACATGAGGTTAGGCTATATTTATATGTAGTTAGTATAGAATTCCTGCATTTACGTAAAATCTTTCAAGAAACATAAGTAAAGGTAAACTCCGTCTATGAGAATGCACAAAGATCTGTATAGTACTTTCACTATTAAGAAACATGAGGTAAGGTTTAGCACCTGTATGTGATATATATTGTGCAACACTGCCAGCATCCACAAACAATGAATTAAAGATGAAACACTTGTTCACAGTTTTAAGCTCTCTTGATTGTATTTGTCTGTACTCTAGAGATTGACATTATAGTTAGTAGTGATAACTCAATGCTAAAGGCAGAAATTAAAATATTAATGAAGTATTTCTTCTTTTTTTTGTAAATGGTATATTTTTTTTCAACCTTGTAAATAAACTATAAAGCTCTGTTATTGTATTAAATTGATTGTGGCACTGACAAATGAAGTTTTTATTTTATACTTCCTAGTGTTATTAGATACTTTCTTAAAGTTTAGCATCTTCTCACATAATTACATATTTTAGAAGAAATATGAGTAATGAAGAAGCATTCTCTGGTAGAAGAATGAAATGAGTAAAGATCATACTTTATTTTGAATAATCTTTCACCAGTACAGTAACCTAATTATTAAAAAAAATTAACTTGTGTGTTTATGTATTTATAGGCATTAAAGAACGTTGTCCTGTACCTTATTCTCTCTCCATTTGATAATGAACAATCTGACCTGATTCATCGACTTAAAGAGGACAAAAACCTAGAAGAAATTCCAAAGTTTCGGTAATTTTGATGTTTTTGCACTTAACAAAATAGTTCTGAATTGTTTGTTTCTGTAAAAAAAAAAGATGTAAAACTTGTAAATGAATAATGGCCCTCATCATCCTTTGAATATAAGTTAAGTTCGTAAGATCAGAAATTAATTGTGTTGCTTTTACCTCCATTTCAGCACTACAATATTTATCCTGCTATCCATACTACTCTCTGAATATTTGGTTTGTTACACTATCAGTGGTAGTACACTGGTTTATATTTAAAAGAAAATAATGCCTTCAAATGATTAAGTCTTTTATTTATATATATATATATATATAAATGAGAATAACTAAAATATAGCTACACTAAAACCATTTCTTGGAAGAAACTATTAGAGACATCATTGTTTAGCCATTAAAATTACCATATATTTTAAAGGTTGTGTGCGTTTAAAATATTTGGATTTATAGCTAGCTATATAGTTTAACATACAGTACTTTAAGGTTGTTCCATGTTAGATAATATAGCTTTTACAATCTTTTCACACACCCCAAGTTTATTGTGAGCTGTTTTGTATATTTGTTAATCCGTGATGATTTGGGTTTAATAGGTTTTTCTGCATATGTGAATGTCTCATAGAAGTGGAATATGTTAAATATGTTACGACTTTATTTAAATTGGTATGCTTTTGTTTTTTCTTATTGAAATTTGTAATTGCTTAAGTTCATAAGAACTTTCAACAGTTGCATATATGTCTCGTTTTACAGCTCCAGTGATATCGGAACTGTATCGGAAAATAGATTTCCTCACACTATATTCCATATTTTAAAAATTTGCCTTAATAACTGATTTAATCTTAAAATTAAATGGCTGAAACATTGTTTTACTTTATAAGAAGTTCAGTAAAATTAATCTAGAAAGCTAAAGAATTATGTAAAACAATACATACATTTTTCAGTTTTTATTCTTACATTTAAAATCAAATGTCAAACAAATATTTACAGAGATCTGTTGAAACTGTTCATTACACCTGAACTGATTCGTTGGGAAGGACTTTGCCAGGGCTATGAAGAGATTTTGAAAGAAGGAACTTCTGACTGTCCCGCTACAGGTGTTTTCTCTAAGGATGAAATGGGGGAGAAGCATTGGGAAGATATGAAAAATCGAGTAGTAGAGCACGTATGTCTTCTTGTTTTTCCTTCCCTTGTTGGGTTATTTCTTGATAATAATAAACAGACAGTAATGTATTTCATTGTTATTCTTTGTTAGCATGAAAAAATATGCAGAATAGTCACAAAAGAATTCACTTCATACACTGTTAACTGCAGTAATCCCATGTGAAGTACAAACACATTACTCTTTTTCTATGCATAATTATTATTTTTTGTATTTAACAGATCTTTTACTTGTTGTACGTAATGTTACATTGCTGAATTATCTCCATGCAAAGTTTATTTAAGTGTGTGATTTAAGACCAAATGAACAGCTTGTGGACAACTTGCATTACATTTTTTAATATTTCAGAATTAAGACTTCAAGCATAAGTAATATAAAAAAAATTTGTCTTGTGTAATATTTTTTCATTAACACAACATTTAAGTGAAACAAAATTGTGTTCAGATTTTGTTTTTTGTATCAATAAATTGTATGAGGCTTAATTTTCAGCAGATAACTATGTAAAAGCTTGACATTTCATGTGTAAATCTATTTCCTTATACAAGAGCTCTAGTGATATCAATGAAAATAACATGATTATATTAATTTGCTTCTTTCCTTTCTCTGTGATTAATCTTTTGAGATTATTCTTTTTTTTTAATAGAATATAAGAATCATGGCCAAGTATTACATGCGTGTTACCCTTAAAAGAATGTCGGAACTTTTAGAACTGTCACCCGAGGTAAGTACAAAAATACATTCAGATTAGCACAGTCATTTATACTTCACTCTACATCCCCAGTGAAATACACTAATATGGTTTTGGTTAATGTAAATAACTTAAATAACTTAAAATTCTTAAATATTAGGCTAAAAGTAAAACTTAACAGGTGGTGTAATTACTGATTAAAGTATTTAGAATTGTTTATACCTTGGGTACTGTAGACTAAAAATATTTGATTAATATTCGTAACTGTTTACAATGTTTTATTGTCATCAGGAAGTGTTATTGAATAAGCAACTTTTAGTGTGGTAACTTGTTTTGTGGGGAATAAGAGTAACTATTAAGAATCTTTTGTTAGTTTAAATATACATAACATCAACTTGAATATAATAGGCCATCTATTGTTCAGTTTAGAAAATAAAATAATAAGAAATTATAGATTTTTTTTGCTACATTTATTCCATTTGTAATTATTTCTATCCTTAACAGGAGACAGAGGAGGTTTTATCAAACCTCGTGGTTAACAAGACAGTTTGGGCAAAAGCAGATCGATTAGCTGGTATTATTAATTTTTCCCAGCAGAAAGATCCAAATGAGGTTCTCAACGACTGGTCTCGCAACCTGAACTCTCTGATGCAGTTAGTAAACAAGACTACGCATCTCATAAACAAAGAAGAAATGATACACAAACACTTACATGTTGAAGCATAACAGATAACTGTAAACATTTCATGGCTTTCTGTCCTTTTTAATTAACATTTGTGGCAGCAAATTCGGTTTTGTTGTAAGGGTATTGTATGTTTGCATGCTCTGCAGGCCATAGTTATTGTAATTTTGCTCTTATGCCCACCCCTTTAAAGGAAATTAAAAGAAAAACAAGTTTTAATGCAGTCAGATTTTAGTATAATAGTTTTCTTTGTAACTTTCACTTCATTATAATGACGTTAATGAAAATATACAGAAAATATTGTGTGGTCTTTGAAATAAATCTTAAAATCTACAGTTACTAAAAATATGAACTATTTGAAGCAAGTGAAAGAAAAATAGTGATATTTTTATTTTTCCAAATTGGGTATTATTAATCTTATTTGAGAAGTATTTTATGAACAGTAATTATTTTGTTAGAATAGCAAATCTAAAACTATGTACATACCTGAGGTTTTCAATACTGTAAAATGTATTACTGGAGAAGTTTTTCAAAGAATGCATTGAAGAGAAATGAACTCCTCTCAGTACTATATCACAATTGTCAGTAATATTTGTAATTTCCTGTTTACTTACAATACATAATCTTGGAATGATAAGACCCTAAAGATGAACAGTAAAAATGTAACTTAAAATTTCGAATCTCTTTCTGTTGATCACAAAACGAAAATGAGACTATGTTCACCAGACATAATATATATATATATATATATAGGAATACTAAAAAAATTTAAATATGATTTTTGAGGTTATACAAGTACGATATACAAACTGGATAATGGACACAAGTATTTTGTTTTTCAGAACATCATTTAGCACTAACTTCTCAGAATCCGAGTCAGACTGATGTCATTAATTCACGGACATTTTGAGTATAAATATGTGACACACTAAAACCTTGCCACTTTTCATGTGAATACATTAAGTAAATTCAGAATTATAGTCAACATTCCTTTCCCAAAATGAGATTGGTTCAATAAATAGCCTGTGCAGATACAGTTAATACTTAGATAAAGCAAACATTCAAAAAATGCATTTTACCACATTCTTACAGTACATCCTTAATGTGTGCCTCAAAATTACTAAGAGAAACAGAACTACAAACTGTAGAAGGGTCTCACACACACTGATATTATTCAGTTTATTGTTTCAATAAACGTGTCAGATTAATGTGACTTTTGACTTCTTTGGGTTGTTAAGCATGTTTTGTAGTGTTCAGTTTCACGAACCCTAAGAAAGAGCATTTTATTTTTAAAAGTGTAAAACTGACAAACAAGACTTCTATTAAATACCTTAGTGAAATAATGAAGTGACTTTTCCAACCAACTATCTATGTGATAGTTAATACTATTTAAAATGTTTTACCATCAGAAGAATACTATCAGACTGTTAGAAACAAAATCTAATTAGAACCATGTATATTCGAATTTTTTCAAGAGGAATTTTAACGTATCTAATATAAATAATAGTCTTAACCGTATCTAAGAAATGGATATATTATGGCTACGATAGTTTTTTTATTGAATACAGAATAATGCACATCATAATTTCTCCACATTAACAACTAATATCTAATGTCTTTTAGCCTGAACAACAATGTACTTGAGTAAATAAATACTGTGTATCAGATTCTTGCTCTATAATTTTGTACTTGATTTTATTGTACAATTTGGTGGAGTTTTTAAGTTTTATTTTGAAAAATGAAGTAAAAGTAAACATTATACAGAAGTTTGTTTAATACATTTTGTATAAGACAATGGTTCATACTTTATGATTCTTGTGCTATAATTAAAGTTTTTAATAATTTAGCGTAATTACTCGTTTTAAAGTAATGAACAGTATCTTATACAGAACGTTTTCTTAAGCCAGGCAAATGGACAGATTTATTGCAGTTAAATTGCCTATTCATTGGACTGGTCTCAGTTTAAGTAAAAGCTATCTTCACCAAGGGAAGATGGCAGCAGAAAAAACTGGATGTAGTAATATTTCCACAAACTAAGAAGATTCAAGTTATGAGAACCAAACACATTACTTTTATGTGAACATATCACATAAGTTGATTTTCTACTAAATGGGAATGGCCTGTTGATAAGTGTGTGGAGCTGCAGATTGAAAAGTCCAAGATTCGAGACTTAATACCACTGAATATACTCTGAAATTTCGTATGTGAGAGTCGTTCCCGTTATTAGGTTCAAAGAGATAAAGAAGGCCCTTATGGTAGCAGCAGTCCTAATTGGCCGCCCTACCCCAACACGGTATGTAGTTCACATTAGGAACAGCTATACCTAAACCCTAGGGACCTCTCTGACCTGGTCGTTTAGCCAGTAAGAACATTCAGATTCAAAATTCCACTTCTTCAAAAGATAACTGTTAGAAATAGCTTTTCAACAAAAGAAACTTCATATAAATATAATACACTAGTTTCGGCCTTAAGGCACATCAGGTGTAAGTTAGTCGTGTAATATATTTGTTAAGGTATCTTGTGATAATGTGTTCTTTAAACATTTTGATGATTTTATTACATTACTTAGTTTCCCTTTTAAGACAAGCTGAGGAATTCGCTTGTATTGAAGAGAACACATTCAAATGTAGGAAGAAATGGGGTTACATATCCTGCCTGTTAAAAAGCGTATTATAGAAAATAATTTGACTTTTCTTAAGTTTATATTAATTTGTTGAACATTCAGACTAAAATTAATAGTATTTACAAACTATATATAAATAATTCAGATTTATTAACATATGCTGGCTGTTTGTGAGAACAAAAGGGAACCATCAGTAGCCGCGGCATAGGAAATTCTTTTAGGAAGGATTAAAGTAAATTAATCTGAGACCCTTTTTATTAGCTAAATTTTAGTGCGCCAGCAATATCAAGCGTAGGGCGCGCATATACCAGATTCTATTTTATTACTCTTCAAAATCTCTCAAATTGAAATTATTTTAGGCAGGATTAGAGAAAATTAATCTTTGAGGCCTTGGGAGTGGTCAAATACATCAATCGAAAGGGTTTGACCTTCAAAGTCCAAAACTGTAATTATATCTCGTATCAGTCAAGAGATGGCAGAGCTATGAGCTAAATGTTTGTACTTGAAGAAAAAAAAACTCAGAACCATCATATGAGCCGTTATGCCGCAGCTAAAAATATTGATCAATTATGTTTGTAGTAATTTTTATATACAGTGGGGAAAATCGTATATTCAGAATGTTTTTAAAAAAACGGACTTACAAACATTTTAATAAGCGTACAATAAGGAAAAAAATTCCAAAAGAGGGAAATGTTGACAAGCTACATTTATTACGTTCTTTAGGCTATGTAACTGTACAACATACGTGTATTTCTATGTAATGTGAACATAAGGTGAGCTAGTTCTTATCAGCGTCCGTGTATTTGAGTCATCTTGGGCATCTACCACCAAGTATTAAATATTTACATCTCAACTCGTATTTTTTACTCGTGGACGTAATCCGAATGTGCAAATTTTGCGAGTGTTATTCTTAAGAACGTAGACAGAACCATCATGATCTGTCTCTGGTATCTTTGAAAATGGGAAAAACCTTTATTTACGTGAGAAATGAAGAATTTTCATTAAATTCAAACTGGAAATTATGTTTTGTAGAAACGAGAAAAACATTTCGGCTCAATACCCGACACTGGTAGTTGGATATCTATAACACTTTCTCTTATGTTATCGAATACTTCCGTATTTGTTTCTGTTTGGTTGGTAAAACACTAAATTGTTTTGAGTCTCGCCTCAAGTTTACTCTCAAAATGAGAAAATCAAGTCACGTGATGCTCGCAGACGATATAAAGTCTCAGTGGAACGAATGCATCATAACTACATTTTAACATTGGAGTTTCGTAAGTTGTGTGATACCACCGAAAATTGAGTGCTTTTGGGAAGGGATTTTCACAGCCCTTTCCGACGCAAGATATTCCTACGCTCCGATCGCAAACATGTTTCAAATACGGGATTTAAAATTTCCGAAATATGTATATTCCTTGGACGCAATAACATTGGAAAACAAATGAATATATATTAAATTATAGAACTACAACAAGTCGTAACCGAACCTTTGTAAGCAAGTTGAGACCTCTTTTAACAGATGAGAATCCACGAACAAAGTGTTAGTGGCAAGGGCTGTCCACGTGGCCCAGGCAACAGTATGCAATATAGTCAAGAAGCATCTTTGTCTGAAACACTGACACAAGTTGCTTTCACGACAAATATTCTTAACCGTCACATGCTTCAAGCTGTTGGAGAATGAATGCTATTCCATGTGAAGATATGCTAGTGAAATCGCCATATACAGCATCTTGAATTTCTGTGTGATCATACTGTGGAAATAAGCACTAGGATATCTTTGTCATCGTACACTAAATGAATTATGTAACAACCCGCAGGGAGGATTGGTGTGCTTGGGATATGACACGACGGAGCCTATCGCAATGGAAATTGTGCTGCGGGGCTATTATCAAGATGCACGGTCGTCAGACAGAGCATAACCGAATGTCGTGACATGGACTGTAACAACGTAGCGAGGCTCCAGCGTTGTTTTAATATAACATAGTGTATAAATTGTGTAAGATATTCCAAACAATTATATCAGTAAATATAACCTTAAAGTAATTAGTGTAAGTTTTGAACATTTGAGGAAATTGCAAACGCACACAAAAACTGATAGAATGTCCCCATTCCTAACAATTATATGATTTTTAAATATTTAAAAAAGTTACAAAAATATAAATATAATAATACATCATAATTACATAGTTTGGGTTTGACTTGAAAATTACTTCTAAAAGGTAATTGAGAAATTAAAGTATTGAACACTGTATTGCTGACTATTATAATGAATTTCAGCTTTTCGTTGATAGTTTCAGTTTATGGGTGATAACATTTACTTAATTTTTAGTGATCAAAAATAGTTTTGTTTTCCCTATATCTAGGCAGCTTTTATAAGAATGCCTTTTATTGTAATAGAAGGCGGGGGGAGAGAACATAAAGAAATCCCTATGATTATAGACCCAATAGTCTTGCATCAGTTATGGGAAAAGTTTTGGAAAGTCTGTTAAAAGATGTTTTACAAAGTCATTTAACAAAATTTAGAATTTTATTGGATAGTCAACATGGTTTCACTAAGGGAAAATTTTGTTTTACAAATCTTTTGGCATTCTTTGAGAAGGTTGCTGCTTATGTAGATGAGGGTAAGGGTGTAGATTTGGTTTATCAGACAGCATTTGACAAGGTGCCACATAAAAGGCTTGTCAAGGAATTATCTCTAAAGGTGTGAGGGATAAGTTAACAAATTGGATAGAAGAGTGGCTGGATGGAAGAAAGCAGATGGTTGTTACAAGAGGGGTACCTCAGGGCTCAATCTTAGGACCTTTTTTCTTTTTATTTACAATAATGAGACAGATAAAGGAATAGTTAATAAATTACTTAAATTTGCAGATGATATTAAGGTCATGGGTGTTGCTAGCTTTGAAAAGGATAGTGCTGATTTACAAAAGGATTTAGATTATTTAGTGAGTTGGGCAAATAGATAGCAGATGTGTTTTGATTTTATTAAATGCATGTTGCTTATTTGAATTATAGGTATAATTTGGATGGGAATAACCTTAACATTGTTATAAAGGAAAGGGATCTTGGTGTAATAGTCGATCCGTCTCTAAAGCCATCCAAGCAGTGTGCTGTTGCTAGTGGTAGGGCAAATATGATTTTAGGCTGTATCTACAGAAATATTGAATACAAGTATAAAGAGGTTATAATTTCATTGCAGGTCAATGGTATGGCCACATTTAGAATATTGTGTTCAGTGTTGGGCTCCTTGCCTTAGGCAAGACATTGAATTGTTAGAAAGGGTTCAGAGAAGGGTTACTAAAATGGTTCTTGGGATGGAGGGGTTGTCATACAAGGAGAGGCTGAAATCTCTCAAAATGTTTTCTCTTGAAAAAAAAACTGGGGGGGGTCAGATTGAGGTGTTTTAAGATTGTAAAGGGAACTTATAGTGTTGATGCATAATCTTTTTTCATATTTAACAGTAAGAATAGTAGGACTAGGTGACACATAAATTTTGGCAGGATAGGAGTCATTTTTAGCTAAGACAGTTTAATTTTTCTAACAGGATGATTGGCCTTTGGACTGAGTTGCCTTCAGATGTTGTAGAGACAGTAAATTTAAACGAGTTTAAGAAAAAGCTTGATTAGTATATGAATGATAAGGGCTGGTTTTAAGATTTTTCTTGATTATTTTAATTTAGTTTAAAGGATGGACCAATAGGTCCCATGTTGTCCCAAAACGTTATGTTATTTCATGCTAAAAACCTGTATTTCTCTGAATAAAATATTGTACTCAACTATAGCAACATGAACATTAGACTGTTCTATGTAAATGTTTCAGTTAAACATACTGAAAAGTGCACTTTGGAAAGACGTTGATAATTTACTTTAATCCGAAGGTATCTTTTCGTAGGCTTAAATACCAAGATAAGAATTCAAAGATAATACTTTGATAAATAGCTCTCTCTGGTACCAAATTGACAGGAATGTAGTTACGATGTCATATTCTGTTTTATCAGCAAAGTGTCTCTCAAACAGAAAATTTTTGTCACTTGTGTTGATCTTTATATATATATATATAAATTTCAGCTTTTCACTTTGAATTTTATTAAATAGTTCACTCCGTAATTCTACACATAGTGTATTGGATTATTTTGTTGAATATCTGATGAAAAGAATTTTAAAATAACTAGCGAGTCTGTGTGGTATTCCAAATTGCATTGTTTCAATAGGTAAGCATTAAACACCACAATACAGAAAGTTCAAAGATGAGGACGGACAATTAAAAAATTGAAATGTGACAACTGTAAACAGAGGGGAAAAATCTTTACTTTCATTTACAGAGTTCGATACCCGTTGTGGGCAGAGCACAGATAGCCCATTGTGTAGCTTTGTGCTTAATTACAAACAAATACAGAGTTCGTCACCTTTCGTTTGTTGGTTTAGCATTTATTGCCTTACATTTTTCTATTTTGTCTGTTCGACCTCATTAAGTTTTCTAGTTTCTAAAGCATATAGAAAATTTTACATCTCAAAGACTAGAAGGACTGTGTTAACCAGCCCTAATATAGTATTTGTTTGTTTGTTTTGAATTTCGCGCAAAGCTACACGAAGGCTATCTGCGCTATCCGTCCCTAATCTAGCAGTGTAAGACTAGGTGGAAGGCAACTAGTCATCACTACCCACCGCCAACTCTTAGGCTACTTTTACCAACGAATAGTGGGATTGACCGTCACATTATAGCACCCCCACGGCTGAAATGGCTAGCATGTTTGGTGTGACGGGGATTCGAACCCGCAGACTGCGAGTCGAGCGCCCTAATCACCTGGCCATGCCGGACCCCTAATATAGTAAACCACATGCATCAGTGATCAATTTCAATGTGCATTCAATGAGAGTGTAACTCCTAGCTCTTACCAACTTGCAAAAGTCACTCCTCCACTTGGGTATGACCTACAACTTAAGGGAGCGGGTAATAATTCAAGCAGGTCCATAGCTTCTATTACTTACATCCATTGTATAAAGCACTTAATTAAGTGCAAAAACCTGCATGAAAATTAAACAAAAAATACCTGAAAAAAAATACATTATTATAGTTATAGAAACGTAAAATCTGGCAGTTTCCAACTGCTACAGTGCAACTAAGTAACTCACAAAGTTACTTGCAAACACATTCACACTCGGCAAGATGCTAGTCCGTCACAGGTTAACCCCAGCTAACAGCTAGTTCCGGTGATACAGCTGGGTAGACTAATACAATTGGGGTAAAGTAACTTGTTCAAAAACACAAAAGCATGAAACAAGCCAGCTTCGAACTCACAACCATCTGACTAGTAGTCCGAAGTGCAAAGCTTCTGTGTCACGCTGTTCTCACGTAGATGTTTTACCTTATTAAAATTTGGTGTCATGCAATTCATTTTTATAATGTGGGGTGATCTTTTCCAGCAGCTACATAAAACATTAAAGCCAACCAGTTAACAGTAGTAATTGAACCACGTACAGTAAATTTAACATAGCAACTCAATTACGATCTGCTGTATAAAAATAATGAACTTAATGTTGTTTGTATTAAATTGTTTCTAATCTGTTTTATTTACTTCTTCTGTGCTTTTCTACAAAAATTACCTGCTGATTCTCCTATTATCTGCGGAATTCATTGCTTATGTATTGGTTAATAGTATTTGGATTGAAAATGCATATTTAGCACTTCTTGTTTTCGTAAGTTAGTCAGGTGAGCATTTCTTGTTCTCCTATAATTTGTACATTTTTCCTTACATACACATTTCTGTGTGTTATTTTAACAATAGAACGTTGTCAAGAAATATGGCTAACTCCTTTTACTACTGAGTCATGTTTGCTCTCTCATGGAGAAGATTGCACAAAAGTAAAACAAACTATTTAAAGATATACAGTGGTGCTCTCCAATAGCTGGATGCCAGGCATGGCTTGGTAGTTAGGGCGCTCGACTCGCAATCTGTGGGCAGGGGCAGATTCGAATTAAAAGACAAGCCCTGACAATATCACATGGTGCATACTGACCAATCTGTTTCCATCTGTGGGTCACGAGTTCGATTCCCCTCAACGAACTTGCTCGCCCCTTTCAGTCGTGGAGTCGTTATAGTGTGACGTTCAATTCCACTTTTCGTAGTCCAAGAGTTGGCAAAGGGTGGTGTTGACTAGCTGCCTTCCCTCTAATCTATCACTTCTAAATTAGGAATAGTTAGCACATATAGCCTTCGAGTAACTTTTGTGTAAACTTCCAAAACAAATAAACAGCTGGTTAAGTGTACTTGGAGGTTATATTTTCTTCTATTTTGCTATTGAAACAGCCACCAGTGCCGTAAATAGTGCACGCGCACTGAGAGGGATGCCATTATAGAAACTTGTATCTTTAAGACTGAGGCAAATGCCAATAATTTCTTCAGTCAAAGCCGATAAGTCAAAAGAGATTCCGGGACTTTACCGGTTTTTCATGTATTAATAAAAAGTTTTTGTTAAAAAAATTGTCCTTTCATTGGTTCTTTAGTTAAATACACCAGTAGAAATAATTTTCATCGTCCAGCCTTCCGGTGGATCAGCTATGAGCTTGAGGGTTTATAACGTTAAAATTAAGAGCTCAATCCCTGTGGTGGGCTTAGTAAGTATAGCCCATTGTTTAACTTTGTGTTTAAACGACAAAACAAATCTATCGTTCACTGCACTCATTTATTTTGATTGATTTTGTGAAATAAATAAAGACACACACACACACACTGTGAACGTGATAATAGCACAACTCTTCCTAAATATCTCACTGAATATATTCGACATTTAAAACTAGTTAAAGACGTTTCATCGCTTCAAAACGCGTGTATAGTTTTTGTGTTTTATCTGTCACGTGACGGACCCACTGATAATCAAAATGTATATGTATGTAATTTGTTTTATGTAATTAACCTTTACAGTTGTCAGAGAAGGAAAGGAGAGATAGGCAACAAATAAGTATTTATGGTGTATCTTAAAATTTGTACGTTAGCATTTTATACTAAAGCGAAGTGCTGGGTGTAATTATTTATTAGCCAAAATGTGGAATTTTGCGGTGCGGTGGTTTAGCCTGTTAAATCTTTATTGTCTATTTCTGTGCTTGGATATATCTTGGGAGTATCAAGCTATGACGCGTAAGTTACTAGTTACGAAATAAACTTAATAAGTATTACGATTAGTTTGATAAAGAGCAGATCACAAAATACATTAAAAATTAGGAGGATACGTCTTAATTCCATTTGTCATTTTTGTGTTGAATTTTCAAAACTATATTTCTTCTTCGAGATTTTCGAGAACATGGTATTTTATAAAGAAAGTGGCCCTTATAAGATTATATTATGTCAACACGAGTAAGTTTATTGATATCTTTTAAAAGTAAAAATAGAATAACTAAATTCGCGTGACAGTCAGTAAGTTCTTTTCACCTAACGAGTTTTTATTTCTGTAACGATGCAATAAAACCGTAAGCATTTTACATTTCTGTAAACTGTAATGTGGCTCATACATACTCTGACTGATATGGCCCTCCGGTGACAGAGCGGCAGGTCTGCGGACTTCCAACGCTCGAAACCGGGTTTCTTTATCCGTGGTGGGCAGAGCTTAATTTCAAACAAACTGAACGATATGACAAAAATAAAGCATTGTCTATATTACTTTTATATGTTGTCAAGTATTAGTTACCTTTCTTCTAGATGTATTCTTATATGCTCTGCAATTTTAATATACAACTACAATTAAAAACAAGATAAAGTATTTGAAGTAGTTCTATCCTGTCCTGCTTTCTGACAAAGAATATTGAAAAGTTACTTATTTTCAAATTATTCAGGTGATCTTGCGACCAAGAGAAGTGAATGTGTTGAAACTGACAAAGACGGGCTATGCACAAAGTAAGATTTTATATCCTATTTTATACTATTTATTGTCATTTGTGAGGGGAAGGGAGACTTTCTTTCTCCCTTATTCTACTGCTTCTTTTAACACCATGATTCTCGTTTAAGGGTTAAGATAGCATTTTTGTTTGAACACAAGACATATGAGTAGCTATCCGGATACACTAGACAGAGCTGGGTGACGGAGACGATGACGTCATAGTATTCATATTACCATGAAGATGCACCATAGGGCGTGTTGACTGGGAGGTGGTAACATCATGGTTCGATATCAGAAGGCGCGTTGTAGAGGATGACGTCCACGAAGTAGTATCAGAGGGTGTGTTGCTCGTGTAGGAAATTTCTTGACGTCAATGGATTGCTAAGATATAGTTTTAACATATTATTATATCATCAACATTGAAATTTTCATTTCATTAAAAAATTATTTACAGATTTTCAAATATAACTGTTATTTGAACGAGTCAGTTAGTACAGCTGATTAGGTTTTCAATTAATAATTAATTTGCACAAGTCATAAAAGTTTTGAGTACTTTACAAACAAAACCATTGTTTTAACGAGACAACTATTATAACATAGCTGATAATTTGTATTGTATGTAAAAAAGTTTTTATCACATATATTATCTAAATTTACAGTTAAATCCATTATATTAAGGAGGCAAATATTATCGCATAACCAAATTATTTTCTTTGCATACTTTACAATTGTCCCTCACTTTATGTATAAAATATATATTAATATCGCTAATTCATCAGTTCTATTGTTTTTTCTTCTCTAATTGATATATCGTATAACATACAATTAACTGTGCTGAAAAGTTTTAAATATTTATTACACTTAATGTTTCATTTTTATAAATATAACCCTTTTTTGAATGAGCCACTTACATTATTATTACATAATTGTGTTTTTATGATTTAAGTATCGATTTAATACACAATTGATGTACTGTAGTATATGTTATAGTTTTTGTTTCTATATTTAATTTGTATGGCATGCTTTTTGCATTTACCATTTGCTCTATAATTTTCATTTCTATAATTAATATGATGCATAAGATACTTTTATATCTATTCGCTCACTAAATAATTTATGATATAAAATATATCAATTTTCATGTTTAGTTTTATGAATTAATCTAAATCATTGTTCCTCTGAAGTTTAATTTTAAAGTATTATATACCACTCTTCGTAAATATTTATGTTTAACAAATACTATTGTAGAAATTATATCCAATATTCTTACCTTTGTGTAGACATTTTCACAAATCTTTAGACATATGCTGTCAGGTCTCTAATAAAACTAATTACATATAGATATTATTTCCGTTTCTATCTGAGGGTCTTTAACATTGAACGTAAACGATAGAAAGGTCAACAAATGCGACGTCCAAATGATGTAACCACTTCAATCCTACTGGATATTTAGTCAAATTCATCACAGTTGATAGTATGTCGACCTTTTACTAAGAGTGGGAGCTGATAGGATTCAAAGCTCAGTATGGCAGAAAAGAACATTTTATGAAAACAGGTGTTGAATAAGTCAATTATAATAAATAGTATATGTCGCAATTTCTGATTGTGCATTCATTAGTAAGATATCAATATCATACATATACTTAACTGTTGTAGCTTAAAATAGCTAATTTCTACATAATCACCAAATTAACTGTAATGTTATAATGTCACAGACACTGATTTTCTACAAAAATTAAAAAGTAGAAAGTTAGTCTTTTATGATACACGAGACCCCATGAACTGATTATCCATGTTTTCACAATTTTGTTTAACCATCTAATACAAGTCTCCATGTGCATATGATATCATCAATGTATCAAATAGAGATGATATATGCAATGATAGCTTTATCCATCCTCTAGGTGAATCGTCATTTGGAAAACATGATGCCAATTTCTCAGTATAACTACAGCTGAATGTCATAATATTTGTGGTATATCCAAGTGTTCTAGCATGCGATTAGTCAAACAGAATATATCACCATAAACGTAACATAAGGGACATTACCCAAAGTGATTCGAACTAGTAATATCGTAGAACGTTTCTTTCATGTAGAAACTCTACAAAACATATCATGCACTTGAACTTCGTAAGTACGAAAAAGAT